TATATATATATATATATATATATATATATATATATATATATATATTCCTAAATCCATGATCTGCGAACGGCGGCTGATATTATTTATAATCGCAGGTAGCCATATTCGCGCGAGGGCCGCTCTCGTTCGGTCCCAACATGGGCGTTTCTTTTGTCGTCTGCAATGTGTCAAACATCATCGAACGGGTCAGTCGTAAATGAGGAAAAGCGGTGGGAGATTACAGCCGACAGTGACGTCGCTTAATTCACCGGTCGACAAAGCCGCTGTTGAAAACGCGCGAGCGCGAGTTGTCCATGCTGACGAACGTACCGCATCGTCCTCATCCGCCGCTTTGTGAGAGTGCCGCGGTCAAAAAAACCGTCTCTCGCACGTATCGGACTTTGAGCTCGATAATTGAATTAAAATCCAGGAGAAAAAGGTAAACAGGCGAGCGGATATCGTCGGGCAGTATTTTTCTTCGTTGCAGCCTCGAAATTCGAGATTCGCCGCGAAATCGATGAGCAATCTCAGCGACTGAGTCGTAAGGTTATGCAGCGTAGTCGAGGGAAAATAAAGACATCAAGAATTCCTTACGTGCTGGTGGTTTGATACATGCGTGAGAGGGAGAGACAGCCTAGTAGATAATGAACGGTGACGCATCATTGTTGTCTCTGTACGTCTGGCCAAGTCTGAGGAACTGAAGTACAAGGTCCACCTGCTACAAATCAGCTGATCAACAAAAGAGGCTATAAAGTTCACAATTTAGGTTTTAATGAAAATAAATATTTATTTACATGTCAGGGATCTTTTAAGTTTTGAAACTCCGTTTGTGACGTGTTGTGTTGATTTACAAGATTATTTCCCATAAGGAAAGAAGGAAATCGAAAAATGTCCTCCACAGCGATGGGTACACCTAAAAGTAGTAATCTCCAAAATCGAAATTCGCAGAGATCCACTCTACTGAAAGTGGTAATTCTCGGAGATGGTGGTGTTGGCAAATCCTGTCTCATGAACAGATTTGTGTCAAATCACTTTGATGAGCACAGCTTTCATACGATAGGAGTGGAATTTCTAAATAAAGATATTGAAATTAATGGTGAAGCGTATACATTACAAATATGGGACACTGCTGGACAAGAGAGATTCAAAACTCTTAGAACCCCATTCTATAGGGGTTCTGATATCTGTCTACTCACCTATGCAGTGGATGATCGAACAAGTTTTAAAAATTTGACACTATGGAGATCTGAATTTCTTAAGTATGCAGATGTTCGAGAAGCTTCTATATTTCCTTTTATCGTCATAGGCAATAAAGTGAGTTACTCAGTATTTTATACCAATATACTAATTGTTATATATACTAATTATAATACTATATTAATATTTTAATGGCCCAATAGACAAAAAATTTCATGTGTATATTTCTTACAAATGAATATTATTGATAATTACTAATAGTGAGATTAATCACTGCTTTGTGGTTCAGTGATTATTTTACTATACATAACACATTTATTGAACTTTAACAAATGTATTCATTAGAATTTGGTCCATACAATCCAATATTTAATTATTTTTTTAAATAAAAAAATTTGGTGTTTTATATTTTGTCGTTACATTCATAGATGTGGTAAATTTGCTGGCAAATGTTGGAAACAATGTAATAATCGGAATGCAACTGATATTTTGATATAATGTACTTTAGTGAACTAGTAATGGTATTAGTGCTTTTAAATTTTTAACTAAACATAATGAATTAGAACAAACAATAAGTTGATTTGAAAAATACTAAGTATGAAACAATTTATGTTGATCATGAGAAAATTTGTTAATTTTTTTTGTTATCAGGGAACAATTCGAATTTGTAATTCATCACAAGGACTCAATAATATTCATTGTCGTTCTATTATCACTGTTGCTGTAATCACTAAATTACGTTTAAGTATTAATAATCTTGTAATTTAAGTACTCAAGATCCCATTAGCCACTATAGATCGTTGCCAGTCAGTAATAAATTATTAATGCTCAGTGATAAAATTACTTACTAAAAATTATTTTACATATAATATTGCAACACAAATACACATATATATCTCTTATAGAAAAGTAATAAAATTACTGAGCATTATTATTTCATTATTAACCAACCAGTAATACTTTTCTATAAGAGATATGTATGTGTGTATTTGTGTAGCAGTATCTTATATAAAATAATTTTTCTTTATAGGTGGACGTCCCCGAGTTGGAGAAACAGGTTTCCACGGAAGACGCACAAGCTTGGTGTCTGGAGAACGGCAATCCTCCGTTAGTTGAGACTTCGGCAAAAGACGCCACTAATGTCGAGGCAGCGTTTGGGGCAGCTGTCGCTGCATGGGCGCGACTGGAAGCTAGATTAGAGCGGCCTTTAGTAGAAGATACCGTCGATCTTTCCAAGCAGCAATCCCCGCATCGTTCGAGCTGCTGCATGCCTGTGTCGGGCACTGAGTAGGTCGCAGCTTGTGATTTTGACCATTCTTTTGTGTTCCAATGAAGTAATGCATGATAAATTCTTCTCAAGATCCACCTTCGTGACCAGATAATTGAAATCAGGTGGTAGGAAGATAAGCACAATATGCGAACTTTACGGTGCGAAGCAACGCTTGTGGAAACAGTTGTTTAAAGTTTCTTTATGTTTGGAAGCAGCACACGTCACATCGCAAATTGAGCCCATAGGTGTTTATTCTGTGATTAGGATCTATAAGGACACACTATATGCAATATAAGTGTAAGAGATTATTTTTCTTTGTTTGGCCTACGCATCATTTCTTTGCACAATTACAGCAAAATATGCAATAGAAGTGATTTATAGTCCATAGAGAGTTTGAACGGACTCGCGTAAAGTTTCGAGTAGGTAAATATGACATTTTTCTTCAGTTTCGAACTTAGCCATTTTCACCAATTGCACTTGAGACAATTTCTCACAATAGGCATGCTTTTTTTTCTAGGTCTAACAAAGTAATTTGAAGAGAATCTCTTGCCTGTCTACGATACTCTCTCTACGTTATACGGTAAACTTTATTCACGCTGGAATTGCGTCGGTTGTATAAAAATGGATTGTAATTCAATTTTACAACTCAAGATCAGCTAAAACTTGAAAGATCGTACGAACTATGTTTATAGGAAAATAATTAGCGACAAATGAATGTACCTTGCTGTGTGGCTCATCTTTATCCTTAATAAATCTTATAGAAGTACTTGAACATGAAGCCACAAAGATCGTATATAAGACAAATAACGTATCGCGGTTAATATTTCCAGAACATAGCTCTAAGATGTAAGGTCAGATTGAACGTCCTATTCTATCACGCTTTGTGCAGCTCTTAAGCTACCGACAGTATTTTAAGTGTTTCACACAATATCAGCTTGTGATAAGATAATAATAATAATAATAATCATGAATTGTGTGCTTTACTACATAAGAGAGATAGGCATAAATTTGTAATTCTAGCTTTGTAATCTAAATTTGCCTTATCCTCGCGGAACACGTCTGAGAGCAGTTAAGCGACTTATTTAGACGAAGTCTCGCTACACATATACTCTGTATTTATATACTCTGAATTTGATGCTTGTACAAAGTATAAAATACGCTTTTCTGCTCTTGGAACATTCCGCAGTCGATGTCTAACGATTTTCCTACAAAATTATTAACGTTACCAGCAGTGAGAGCTTTTTGTACGATTGTCGTTGGTGTATGACCTCCTCTACGGTCCTCTACGGTCGCGGTGTCTCGCTCGACACATACCAGATTCTTGGGAACGCTTTGTGTATGACAAACAAGCAAAAAGTAAATAATGCCGCAACGGCAAGATTCGGATTAATCGTGTATGAAACGTGCATGCTGGTGCTTTTTATATAGCTACATGTGGAATATATAAATTTATAGTGACAGAGAGATAACGTGTTGGTTAAGGATGTTAAGTGCTACAAGACTAATCATATCAAGGTGGAAAATTCACCTCTTAATTACGACAACATTGACATCACTTTTACGAATAAGTCTCTATGTGCGCGAGATCTCTATGAATTATTTTTTAAAGAATACTGATGCACACAGTATACATGTTTCATTTGTGTGGTGAAAAAAAAGAAGTGTGTGCCGATCGTTATTTATTATTTTTTACATATCCTTAACGTATATTCGTTCGCAAAAAGATTGCAATATCTTCTGTTTCGACGAGTTTCGGAAAGTAGACTGTTTATTCTTGCGATTGAAATTCGCATAGTCCTCATCGAAGAGGAAAGTGTTGCAACTTATCTGCGACCGAATATACACATCTTCTCGTACATGATCTATATAATATGTGTGTGTATGCCTTAAGATTTTATAATTCCGGGGATCGCGATTTTGCAAGGAAAAATAAACGTACACTGTGCTTGTTTAAAAAGCGCCTATATTCCTGTTTAAATCGATTCTCGCCAACGTCATTTACCCTTCTTAGGAAATATTTCTGCTTACTGCTTATCAAACAAACATCTCGTAAAAATATCAATATGAGATCTGACGATAATAACGAGAATGAGACAAGAATTTAAAAAAGAAATTAATAGGTCACAGTTATAATACTCTTCCGATCTGTTTAAATTTCATTGCTATTCTTCGGTGTTTTTGGTGAAGCTATATTTCGCGATATTTTACAAATAACAATCATTTACATGACAACATGTTATAATACCTTAACTTGTAACAATATATTGTAATGGTATGTTTTTACATGGGTTTATTTAAGATGCGATAGCACACTCTTTCCCAAAAATTAAGAAGTTATCGATAAATATAAGCGTCCCTAAAAAATAAGAGCAATAAAATTATATAATGATATAATGGACAGTAAAAATGATATAAAATTGGGAAAGTGTGTGCACTCATACGCGACGACACGTTTCTTACACGATATCTTAACAATATTTACAAGTTCAGACATATTATACTTGTATACCAAGATTCAAGTATCCAGTGGAAGCTGAGACTTTGCGAAGTTATCTCGTATTACTTTCATAATAACAGCGAGATATTACTATGTTTGATAGAAACTTATTCGCTTACGGTAGAGTTTCACGCGGCAAAATTATTTAAAAATGATATTAAAACCAAAATTAAGATACTAAGAATAAAAACAAAGGACAATGAAAATCTAAAACTTAATCTAGAAAAGTTTTTTTTTGCTATGTGCTATATGTAATGTTAAATTTAAAAAAGGCCAATTCTCTAAACACTCTTGGTACGTGAAACGCGAGAAAGCGCTCTTAATTTTCTAATATTCTGCCAGATAATGTACGCGTTGTAACTTCAGATTGCAGTCTGCACGAAATGACCTGATTGAAGTAATTTACTAAATGCTAATGACAGTGTTCAGTAACGTCCACAATTACTGACTTTTTCCATCCGAATAGGAAGTAACCGATGGCAGCACCCAACACTACGGCACAGCATAACCAAACGTTGTACGTCATGAAGATCAACATCAAGAAGTAAGACAAGACTATCTGCACGATATGCAGAAGCGTTTGGAAGAAATGCATCCATGACAGCATGGTTGGCCTGTACAGAACAATACGTTTATTTTTTCATTATGTACGACTTTAAGTAGAAGAGATTACGAAATTCGATTTATGTACATTTCTGCTGTTTCCAGTAAATTGTAGCTTTATACAAAGACATAGTAATGCTAAAGTAAGAAGTAAAAGTAAATATTTTTGCACATGCAGTTTCAAAATTAGTATTAATACGTTTCAAAATTTATATGTCAAAATATTAATAGAAGCAATACTGTGTGTGTGGGTGTGTGTGTATGTGTGATAGAATTTCATGTTAAAGATATTTGGTGCATAATAGTATATTTTTCGCATCTAAAGGATCTTATTAAAAAATGTATCACACATGCAAATTTTAATGAGAATCCTTTAGCAAATATTAACGAATGTTGGTATATTATTGCTATTTACAAGATATTGACAACGTTATGTCAATTAATAACATAGATATTAGAGAAAGCCCAATTCGAACAGAGGATATCAATTCCTCATGATGTTCTTATTACTTACGGTTGCTTATGGATTACTTCTCCAACCATACTAAAAAAGCAAATGTAACGATTAGGTTTATAATCTATCCGCGTGTATCGATTATACGTATTTGATGATTCCTCAAAAAGTGTTGCTTTTCCGTTAATATATTCCTTTTTCGTGGAATATCTTAACAATAATCCTAAGATCCCCTAAAAAATAGTACTTTTGCAAAAACATTCTCACGTGAGCGGAAACGCGAAAAGCAACGCTCTTCATGAAAATGTCTATCATAAAAGTCAAACTCACTGAACAACCCGATTGTCTTCGGCCACGACGTTCTTTTCGCTAGGTACTGTAACACTCCTGTACTGCAGGGAGTTGTATGTTTTCCAGAATAGATATTCTCGATAATATTTGAGGCCTTCGTAGAGGGCTGCCATGATTACGATACCGATCATCGAACCCACGAGGCCGCCTATCGACGTGATTCTCCAGTTGTCGAATAGCACCGACTCACAGAAACCGGTGTGAAAAGTCATCTGCACGCGTAAATGGAAACGGTATGTTAACAGCACACTGATTATCCGACATTCTAATCATACGTACCGACATACCATGCCCATGCATGTCCATGTCGCCACATGCGTTGCTCATCGAGGAGGCAACTTGATGCATATTGCCGTGATCCATACTTCCATGGTTCATGGCACCATGGTCCATATTACCGTGATTCATGCTCCCATGATCCATTTTGGCGTGATTCATATCTTCATGGTGCATACCGTGATCCATGTGCGCGTGAATTCCTTCCGAAGCGTTCATCTGGAAAATAGAAGGAATCATTAGTGTTTTCGTAAGTTTGAAAAATTTAACAAATCTCGTTATCACGAAAGCCACCAAGAAGTGTCAACATTGAACAGGTTTTATTTGAGCACGATTAGATATCAGATTTCATTGGAATCCTTATTGAGAAAATCCTATTACGTTCTGTTTACAACAGGAAACGATATGCGCGAGTAGAAATCTGTCTACGATCGAGTATAGCTAGAATGTAAAAATTGGTATGCTCAAGGATTTATTACAAATTTCCAAGTCTGCATCAAAACGTTTCAAATTTGCTAAATGTGAAAACAATTTACGAGAAATATGGATTTTTTTTCAACGAGTAAAAACTCGATACAATACTAAAAGGTTCCTCAATTTTTCGAACAATTTAAGCAATATCAATTGGAGCCAGCAAACTTCTCTTGAGGATTGCAGTGAAGAGAGAGGGAGAGGGAGAGGGAGAGAGAGAGAGATGTTGATATGCCAAAGTATATTATGTCATCACGCTTCTCACTGATGTTACATCTTCAGACGTTGCATGTTGCAATGTCTTCATTATGTATTAAATATGCGTCTACGTATTACACGACTTACGTGATGTGCCAGTGTTATATTTATTTTTATACTCTCGCTTTAATTTTTTAAATTTTATTTCTGAAAAATATTTGAGAGAAATGATTATAATTTTTAAAAAACTAAATAAGAGTAGAGCTATTTAAAAATGAGATCGCGGTTCTTAGTTCCAATTTTATTACGGAAGATCGTATATTTAAATTTAATAAATTTCGTTGTATGTTTTGGTCTTTGCCGTGACCTCTCCTTTTAATAGAACGATAACAGATAGACTAAAAGCAAAGTTGACAACGTAACATATATGTTAATGTCAAATACATAAGAAAAAGTATTGTAATGCTCAAATTTTTTAAGGACTTTATCTGTCTTAACGAATAACATTATATTTTGTTGAAATTATTTGTTGATTTTTAGATCTTATCGATGTACGTATTCTAAGCAATTAGAATACGTACATCGATAAGATGTACGTATGGTAAAACAAGAAATTAACGGAAGTTGTAAAACAAGAAGTTCTAGGAAGTTTTTAATCGAGATAAGTTAATAATACACGTGGAGCTGAAAGGAACTACTTCAACGCTATTTGAAAGTTAGTGGCAGTAATACAAATAAAACAATTCAATGAGTTAGATACGCAGTGTTGCTACACGTGCATGCAGCACCTGTTGCACGAGTAGCTTGTTCATTAATCAATAAGAATCGCACCGAGGACGTTCCGTTAATCTTCTTTCCCGTCTCATGCAACTGTAACAATCTTAGCATAAGCGGAGAACGTCAGTTGGGTGGTGTAGAACCTTATCGAAAGATAACAAAAATTTCAGTGCGATACAGCTATATTTGCAGAATATTAGCTGTGCAGATAATTAATAAATCCATGCAAACTTTCCTGAAGGTCGAGACCCGAATATTAATTGTATATCTTTCACCTGTTTTTTATAAACACCCACAAATTTTCAAGTCACTATCTTAAGTCGTCCACAAATAGTATATAAATTGTATATATGTATATTTTGATGTGTTTAGGCTTCTGGTCTTTCGCATTGTCTATCTCTTCGTAATGACGTCAGAAGCGAGAAAATGTATGCTAAAAATCCTTGCAAAATACGTTAAAATAAAAATATATATCCATTAAGTAATACTTGCAATCGATTAAACGAATTTGTAAGATATTTCGTGCACTCCCCTTTTGTTCTAACAATTAATAATTTATTGTAAATTAACCTGAATAGAAATAGGTTAGAAAGATGAATTGTATGTCACGTTAATTTACGACAAATTATTGATTGTTAGAGCAAAAGAGGAGTGCACAGAATATCTTACAAATCTGTTTAATCAATTGCAAGTGTTACTTTATGGATATATATTTTTATTTTAACGTATTTTGCAGGAATTTTTAGCATACATTTTCTCACTTCTGATGTCATTAAAAAGAGATAGACAATGCGAGATGCCAGGAGCCTTAAAGAAATTAATATGTAATAGAAATCAGATTTTTTAAGATTAATATATTTAGTATTCGTATATAAATTTTCTGATATTAATAGCGGAAAGGAAAAAAAATTCTTTTTTCAACAAAATATTTGATATCGAGAAGAATCAGTTTATTTTTTGTCAGAAATACATTTGTGTCGCTCGAGCAGTTAGTTCGAAGAAAGGACTGTGAACGAGTCTCAAAACGAGAACAAACGAAACTTGCAAACGTTGTCGATTCCGTAAATCGAACAAAGAAAACGTGAGTAAGAAAACGCAAGTTAACGCGGCGTACTTTCTAAAGTAGATCGTCTCCGAAAGGATACAGCTCCAGAACGTATCGACATTCCGCTCTAATAGGAACCTGAACGAATGAGAACAGTCAATTGTGATCGCGCTCCGGTAGAACAGGATTTTAACTTTTTTTTAAAACAGAAGGTCGACTCTCACCTACTGTGCCGAATCATGCAAATGCGGTATCTGGGTTGAGAAACGAAACGATGGTAACGTATAATTATACATACGTAAATAAATTATATATATTATAGCAATTATATGTATTATTACCATGTCATTAGTAAATTATGATAAAATACTTTAATACAATAAAAAACACAATAAAACATAAGTAAAGTACAAGGAATGAAGAAATAACATCAATCATTCTTGAAGAATATTTATCAACGAATCGAATCAAATCTGATTAAATTTAATCGATCTCCGTGAAATATATTTTCTTTTTTTTTCTTTAATATCATATTTTTCTTTTATATTAATGCACCTATTTCCAATTTTCTTCTTTTCTTTGTTTGTTATATACCACTTCGTATCATAAGAATAATCATCAAGTCTACTTTAAGCAACGTCATCAATTCCAAACCTTTTTACTCAAGAACTTAGCGCGTAGTTCACGACTTGTTTGGCGATGTATTTCAATTTCACGTTACTTGATTTTCTATAGATGAAAAATAATCGAAATAAAGATTGAAATGTTCACAGGCAATTATAATTTATTTATTTATCTTACGCTTCGATCTGTGCACTGTTTCTTCTCTTTCGACTTTTTACAAATTGATTTTTCGCATACACGCATATATTTAGAATACAACGGAACACGTTGAAACGTACCTTGACTGGAATTATACTTTCGTAAAAATATTATCACCGCATATCGCGTACGCGTTTATGTACGTCGTAGATAACGCATCTTTCCCGTTTATTTGAACAATTGTACCGTAAGTATAAGTTAATAAAAAGATTCGAGAAAACCTAACGAAGCTATGAGTAACAAGATTGCGAACGAGAAAAATACTAACACGCGAGAATACGGCGAATTACGTATATGAGATAAATCGCGATATATGTGTGCAACGAGTCACACTTCAGAACTGGCATAAGATGCAATGCGATAAGACGCACCCATGAACTATCTTCACATATCGGGATTTTATCGATTGATCTCGACTTTCATGCGATATTGAAAGAGTTACTGCAATACCGTGTATTTACAAACAATTTGACGATATGTATATTTGACGATATATCTCACAACGATATGGCGCAACGATAAAGAATAAAAATAAAGTTAAAATTAATGATCAAGGCATAAAACTTTGCATAAAATTATATTGTACAAACACTGTGATGATAAAAGCAGCATCCTGCGATCTTTCCATCGACTTTACTTCACTGATGAAGAATCGCCAAACGGAACGTTTCCGTTTAAGCGTGAAAATGCTTAAGTAACAGATAAAGATACTTCGAGGAACGCTTTTAAAGAGACGCGCGTTTTAATCGTGTGTTAAACGCTCGCACGTAGCTATGTGTATTGCTCGTCTCGAACAAACGCCATTGTTTCGCAACTCTCCAACGAAACATGCAAATTGAACACGAGAAATAAACGCCATGTGTGTTCGTATTATCCATTTTTCCCGGCTGTTATCTCCAGGTAACGGACAGGTGTTGCAACGCACATTACGAACGTGCATAGAATCCTTCGACTTTCACTTTTGCAGGATAATATTTTTGTTATAAAAGCCGGAAACCCAATTATGAGGAAGATATTGGCGTTGTTAGTTAACGTTCTGGTTCATAGAAGCAACTCATCATAATGACTGACCTAAACTTTGCCGCAGAAACCGCGCAACCGATTAAAATTCACGATAAAGAAAAACACTTTGGAAAAAACAGGAAGTACTACTTATCCGGAGGAAAGAAGTGGGCGGAAGACATAGTTAGACATGGAAAAAAACTTCGGTTAAATTAACCAGATTTCTGTTGAAATATGAACGAACTAGAAATTCTGGTTGAAGTTACCGGAATTCTGTTCGAGTTAATAAGATTTTGGGTTAACTCGAACGGAATTCTGGTATCTTTAATCGGAATTTTTTGGTTCATTCGTATTTCACCGAAAATTTGTTTAATACAACCAAACACGCTGAAAACGTTCTCCCCGTGCAGCGCTTCGATAAAAAATGAAAACGAAAACACGATTAACAGAGGAAAAGTATTATTTCAGGAATTTCGCGTACAATTTCGGGAATGTATTTTTCAACGAATGTTCCGCAAAAAATAGCATCCACGCGCGATCGACAATTTACCGAGTTGCAGGAATCTAATATCGAAATACCACGAGTTCCTAATGGGAAGTCTCGTATTAATAATATTCTTCGGAGCGAGGTGAGATTCCGACTATCGATCGTTTGTAGCAATAACCCTCATTCGGTGAAGCGCGGATTAATTTCCCGCGAAGCAGTCCAATCAAGCACGAACGTAATCTGAAAGTGTCGGAGGTCATTTGCATCGTGTGAATATGCCATTTGTGGTAGAATCTTGTTGCAACGAACTCAGATCTTCAAACACGGACGTTCATCTTTTTCACCCCATGAATGTTTTTATCAAATTAGAAATGGAATTTTTTAGGAAAAGTCCACTCTCCGGCGACTTCCTAAAATAATTCTCGAACAAAAGTCGAAAAAATACCTCCTTTTTGTGAAACAAAATATTTATATAAGGAAGCTTCAAATAAAACATCCATTGAAACGCATAAAGTGATAATGAGATATCACAGCTCATTTGTCATCCTGAGACTTAATTCACGTGAAATCTGACATTTGCAAACGTTTATATTTAAAAAATGAGAAACGTACACGATATTTTATAGGAAGATCGAATTGCACAAGATTGAAGAACTCGTGGGTGAAAGGAAGCGTGGAGAACTTGGAATATTTCTCATACAATCGTTTTCTAAGCACATCACATGATTCTTTTGTTATACCGTGCAATATTCGCCTACGATAATCAGGTCTTATTACAGCACGGATATTTTGTCCTATCTTTATTTCTTTACTGGTATCTATTACACTGTCATTTGGCGGAACTTTAACTGTCGAGAATCTGAAGTCGACTCTTAAGTCGAGACTTTTAATCTACTTCCACAGTATTATTTCGCAATTCAACTATTGAAGTAATACGCGTAGGTGAACTTAGAATTGTTTACGCAGATGCAAAAATCAGGTACAAAGGTATTGATATGTTTGGTTAATATCGCTATATGTTGCAGAAGATCGTATTGCAAAACTTGGCTGAAAATTTTTGCACATTCCTTAAAATAGGAATTTTCTTTCATTTTGTAATCTAAATCCTGATTCCTGCCTCAGTAAATTGATAACACTGACTTTAGTTCAACGAGAAATAAGAAATTTAAAACGAAAAACGTCAGCATCGAGTATCAGTTATATTGTAATTTTGCACTTAACAACGTAAGTGCAATATAATACCATACGTTATACTGCGTCTGCATAACTGAATGCGAGGCTATAATATAAGTAATGGAATTGATGCTCGATGCTGACTGGAAAGAAACTTCTCAACTCGAACGGCACATGCTATTTCTTTCAGTTTCGCGGAGTGAATTCACGATCGTGAAAGAGTAGGGTAAAGAAAGAGCCAGATATTAGTGCGGCTAATTACGCGATACGACACATGTTCGCGTTGAGAAGGAGAAAGAGAGAGTCTCTTGATCGCACGTTCTCGCTTTGGTATCGTCACGTTAGTTATTCGCCGCTATCGTCAGATAATGCAAATTCTCCGTCGAGGGTTGACGATATTGGCTCCAATTGGATCAATGACGGTAAATCACTATTAATTAGCGTATCACCGTGGGATGATGGAGAAGGGGTGTAAATATCCGTTGCGATCGCGTTGCACAAAGTGCGATTATCGATAAGTATCGGCTTCCACGCGTGATGTGAAGAGAAACACGGTTTCGTTCTTCAGTTTCGCGATTTAGTTGAAATGAACGGAGAAATTGGAGCGTACATTCACTCTTTATCGTACCAGTCTCCGTTGTCGTGGCATAACATATGTCGCATTCGGCGAATATTATCCTTCGATTAAATAAAGATAGGAGGAAATACCGCAACGGGGAAACACTTGCGAGGAATTGTGATGCACTTGCGAAAAAATTCAGCTTCATGGTCAACAACTGCTGTTGAATAATCGGCGCGCTTCGTCGCCTCCTTCTAAAGAATAGCTCTAACCGCGACGTACACAGAGGGAGAGAGAAAGAAAGAGGATTCGGTTAAGTCACGATTGGCGTTAATCGATCCTTTAATTATAGACCAATCGCACACACGCTCTTGTATAAGACGGTCCAAATAGACAAGGAAAGTCTTTGTGACTCGTAATTTAAGATCCAAACAATTCAACTGATAAAAAATTGTTCTAGTCGAGCTAGGTCGAACGAGGACTAAAAATTAGTGGAGAAAAATTTTTACGGGTTGTGATTCACGGGGAGATCAGTCAGCAAACTTTCTCCGCGCGAGTCCTGCGCTAAAAGAAGAGGAGAAAGGGACTTGATTAAAAACGCGTGAAAGTCAGGGAAGATAACGATGCGAGGTCGCGTATGAGTGAGACGACTGTCAATATGGTCGATTACTGTCGTTCTCGTTAATTAATCGGGAGTTTCGTTCGACGGTGGTGCGGAAAGCCGCGAAGACATTCCCTCGGAGTAATATGGGACGATCACGCGCGAAAAAATCATGCTAAAATCTCGCGCAGATGACTGACATGTCGCGGAGCCACGCGAAGCGGAAGGATGCGACGAGTCGCTTACCTTTTGCGAAAAAAAGGTTATGTTACGACGTGTGATAATCAGCAGCGAAGTGCACGGAGTCGAATGGCGATGACGGCGGTATAAGGCCAACTGCTACTTCTTTTCGCTTCTCGTTATTCAGGCACACTCACGCAACGAACTGCCGTGTGCTCGCCGATACACTGCGCGACTTTCACATAACCAACCACCTCGCAAAGCAGCCTACTGGCACCGACGAAGAACCGACTCGCGCCGCTCGTAACAGCGATCCAATGAACACATGACATAAGACGGCACTGTTTGCTCACGCGGCCGCTTGGCGGCAGCAGCGATCGGGATTGGTGCGTGCGATCATCTATCTACAAGATAAGTCCATTCGTTTTAGGCTGCGTTCGGAAACATCACTCGAGTACTCTCCCTCTCTTTTTATCTCACTCTTGTATTTCGCTCACTCTAATGGCTACCGTCTAGTAGTGTGCACATAGTGTGTTTCCGAACGCAGCATTAATTGTATATTTCCTATGTCAAGTTGTTTCGACGATTTGTTATGACGATATCTAAACGGCTGTTCTATAATACACTATTAATTCTGAAATTCGTCATTTCAGACGTTTCGTAATTATGTATCTAACAGCACTTTTTCTGAAAAAGTGTACACTCTACACGCACCATGTGCACACAGAAATGATAACGATCTCAAAGTAAATATCTCACGGGACGAACCAAGAGACTACCGTTTAGAGACGAGCGTTTATTGTAATGTTAAGACTATGAAATGTTAAGATTTCGGAAATCGGAAATATTTCGAGTATTACGTGTGTTTTGAATTGCGCTCCTTTGTAGCGAATAGACTAGTCGTCGTGATTGGCGGAGTCGTGTACGCTATATTTCGATTATCAGATTTCGAGAAACTTAATCGCTGCAACTTCAATTAGTTAGAGAGGATCGTGAGTGGTGCAGGGTTTGAGTAGCTGCTCCGTATATCTGTGATTTCGGTTCATCTACGTCAGTCTCGCACGCCAGTCTTCGTTGAGAGTGCCGAAAGTAAGTTCCACGCGTGTGGGAGCATAAAATATCGGCCGACAATCGCCACAAGTGTCACGATTGTTGGAGACGTCCGGTAAAGTGTCGGGTGCACATAACGTAATGGCGATTCGGAGTTCAACTTGTTGACTGTCATGCTTCCAGTAGGAAGTTTCAATGCGAGACATTGTCCGAAGGCGTGAACCCCGTGCGTTTATTACGATGGATCATCATCAACAATTGGTTAGCTCGCGGCTTAACCGTTGAGCTATCGCGTGAAGTATCGCTCGCATCGAAACGCGAGGTTCTCAATCATTTCAAATGCATTTCGGGAGTTCAGTCGGTTATGGACAGATCGCGCAGCAGTACGCACTCGCCAAATCGCTCCGTATTCCCGCGGTTTCGACTTGCCATTTCGAGTGGCCAAGTCACGTTCGCGAGTTATCGTTAGGAATGTCGGAAGTAAGTCGTGCGTTTGAGACGATCGAAAATCGCCGGGCAATCGTTGAAAATGAACATCTCGCGGCACGAGTCGTCCAGATTGCCGAGTGAAGTGTCATACGTTTATCACGAGATGGCAAAATGACTCGGAGTTTGAATTCAGTGACTTCAAGTGAATTCAGTGATTTCTTGACTTCGGTGTCGCGCGCCAGCCCACTGAAATATTTCATGCGCGAAATATTGTCGGGTGTTACGAATTCTGTACGTTATGATAAAGTCCCGTTGAGCAATTGCCGAAAATGAATATCTTGCAGTATCGTTTTGTCGCCGATATGCCGAGCAAAATGTCACGCGATTCGAATCGCTGCATCTTCGTCGAGGTTTCACGAGTGAGATCGTCGGGAGTGACAAAAATAAATCTCGCGTGTGAAATGTCGCCGAGAGTGCCAAAAGTAAATTTCGCGCGTTTGTGACAAAACACTGTTGGGCAATCATCGGAAGTGAAGATGCTCGCGAGACGGATTTCGTCGGAGGTGCTGAAGGGAAATGTCGCTGGTTCCGTCGCAATATGGCGAAATTGGAGTTGGAACACACTCATCTCGTGTCTCCCGACTCATCGTAGGAGAAACTGGTAAATATCAATGAAACAATAATTACGTTTGCGAATCGAATCTATTTGCAAATTTTTCAATGAAGTGATTAATTTGTTTAGAGTAGAGGAGCGCATTGCTTAGCCTTAATAAACAATCAAAGTAAAAATTATATAAAACATATCATAATTTTGAAAAGATGTAATTTTGTAGGAATATGCAATATATTAAACAATCATAATAACTTAGCACTGCGTTGCCATCAGAGCAAACGGCATTTATATAAATCGGTAATATCAACGCTCCCCGTTACCTTCGAGTAAAAAGTTATTATGCAACTCCACATGTAGATGGCAGTACTGCGGCAGTACGCGTCAATATCTTTGTACACATTTGTACCTTTGCTTCTCCCACTCTTTTACTCTATCTCAAATTCGCGCATTCGCCTGTCTCGCTCGAACAAACACGTAAACGCGCACGCGTTGGCTCATTTAGCTGTATACTCTGAAGTATCAAAACAACGGGTGCCGAAATGCAGTGTTCGTGATTGCGTTCTTGCGTTTTTATGCGTCGCGTTACCGCTTGTTATGGCAATCAGGCCGTTGTGGCCTGACTTGCGACCGCGAGCGACGGATCCGCTGTGGTTCAACGCGGATCGGCCGTGCGACGACGAGAGCGAAGTCGCCGCGCTCGAGGCGGAGCATCAAGCATGGGTGAGTTTCACACACGAGTGATTGTATGATTAAAACGCGTATCACTCTCGTCACGCTCTTCCTCTGCATCTTCTTCCAGGCAGAACACGTACGAGTGCAGGGCTACGACAACATCCCGATTGGAAAAACCGTGAGCGACGTGAGTTAACCTCACTTCCTAAGCTTTTTGATGTGACCGCTGCGTTTACACCTTGCGTAAGAATTTGTCGTTAACAGGTATTTTCGTCTTGGATTGCTATGAATCCATGTGTGTTCTCTCACTTTCAATAACTTCAATCAAAAACACGATATTTTTACGGATAAAATGTAAATATAAAGTTCTTATTCCGATCAATCGCGCCACCGCGTGACTTCGACCTGCATTAGCCGACACAGAATAATATTCGCGACTCTTATCGTCAGTCGAGCTCCCGACACTACGGTCGGTATCGTTCGTACGATCAAAATGCACAGTCGTACGCGCAACTTCTTTTTTTTTGTGATTATTTTTAATAATTTTTAGAACTCAAACGCGTTATAAACAATTAATTCGCCTTGTTTTAAGTTACGAAAGAGTCTGTGTTAATTAATAACTATCTATCATTTTGAAAAATCCAGTTTCGAGAATCCGAGGAGGACGAAGAAGAAGAAGAAGAGGAAGAGGGCGAAGGCGAGGAGGAGGATGAGTCGGACACCCATGAGGAAGAAGAAGAGGAGCTTGACGAGATCGACATGGAAGTCAGTTACACCTCCCATCATCCGCAAAGATCCAGTCCGACGGATCTGGTGAGCCCACCCGTGTCCATCAGAATGGTCAATGCGACGAATATAACTCGTTATCCGTAACTTCAATTCAGTTCATAACAGCACTGAACGACTATGTGTAAAGTATATTTATTTCCAAGAGTCTCAAACACAGTAGTATGCCTTTGTCATAATACTTTGTAAGCTTATATATATTGTAGTTTATTCTTACTATATCGATTATATTAAAATGCGGATTAATAAATATCTACCTATTTCTCTATTTCCGACTCTAGTTCCTACGGCTCGTCGTAGAGCATCGTTTATCTCCTTACATAACTCAACGCGAAGGTTAGTCTTTCTCGCGATTCCGTCGTTCCGTCAGCATTTTGAAATCAACCGTTTGCTCGCCAGTGCTTAGGCTCACTTGGGTCAAGAACCCGGCGACGTGCGATCGGCTAAGCCGATGTCGAGCTAAGCGGTGCAAATTCCATCCGTGACGCTGGAAATCGCTCGACCAGCGAATTCGACGTTATTACAGCAGTCCGTAGTACCGCCACTCCGGGGCGCGAAGCCGCGGAGGCTCTCCTCTCGTTCAGGCTGGAAACAGTCGACAGAGTGGCACCGTGGACAGTAATGTCTTCATTCCTACGTACGTCGAGAGCCTCTTTCGAGGAGAAGAGCGACTTACCGCGCTCTGTCCAGAGCACTCGAACAAAAGGGCCCGCCGGCCGTCCTTTTCCCTTTCCTTCGCCATCCCCTGTCTTTCTTTCTCTTTTCTTCTTTCTACTCTTTCTCCCTCTCCCTTTCTCTCTCCTTCTTTCTCTCCAGTTTCTTTGGAACGGACCGGCGGAGTCGGTACCCCGCCTTGCTCTTTCTCTCGCTCTTTCTCCCGCTCTCGCGAAGGGCCGTGGAACCGCGTCGTGCTCGACCGGGACACTCTCAGTACGCTCCTCGTGTACCCACCTCTACTAGGTGTAAGTACACGCGAGAATGTATTATATATCTTTATACAGGGTGTCCACGGAAACACTCACGCGTAGGGACATCGCGTAGCGGAAGAGAAAGAAAAAGAAAAAGGAAGCGGAGCAACGAGAGTGTGCTCGTAAGTTTTTTATTCCCGCGTGGCGGTGTGGTTGTTCTTTTTCTCTTTTTTTTCATACAAGGGTTTGAAGTTTACGGCCAATCGGCCGAGCTACGCTTAGAGAGAGAGCCGTTCGTCTGCTAGTCTCTGCGCACGATGGTCGTGTCGGTGGTACTCGCGTAATATCTGCGCGATCGCGCCGGCATCAGACAAAAGAGACGCGAATACGTACGCGCAAATCGACAAGGTATTCGCCGATGCACTTTAAACCCGGTCTTTAAAGCCTCGTCGGTGAAAAAGCGCGGGCTCGAAGTAAAAGGCGACGAGCACTTTCGTCACCCAGTTTTTCGCCAACTTTTTCGTTTTTAGGCACGAATTGCTGGGCGGCCGGCAACTACATTTTTGCACATACGTATTTTTATATTCATGCACGGCTTTATATACGGTGTATGTATGCACGCGGGAATGTATTGTACATACCTTTATATATACAGCGCGCCGACTCTCCGGGCGTGTAACTGAAGTAAAGCCAGGTTGGTGCCCCCGCTAGGGTGAACGAACGGGTACGCTCAGGCAAAAGCGAACCCGTGTGCCTCCTCCTCCACCACCATCACCACCTCTTCCTCCTCCTCCTCCTCCTCCTCCTCCTCCTCCTCTAGCAACAACGTCCTCCTCCTCCTCGTCGGCGAAGATCGTCGCCGCGGACTTTCGCGAGAAGAAAAATGCAAAAATCGGTTGGCCGCGCTTATCGGGATTTCGTGAGACTGCGAACCCCAGGCGCATCATCGACCCGCCGTCGGTCGTTCGCATATTGAATCATTAAGCGCTCGAGATATCGATCTACTTACTGGTCCGGCGTGCTCGTGCCAACGCGCGATAAAGTCTCGCGCCGGTAATTCAGATAATCCAGCGTGATCGCGTCGCAACGATACGCGTTTCCTCGCCTATTCCGCGCGCGATCAAATTCACTCGCTTAATTCACTTATTTCAACGTTTGTTATCGTTTGTTATCGTTTCATTGAGTTTGTTATTCGGTATCTTACCTTATAATAACAAAATGTAGCTCCGTTAAGATCTACGATACTCTTAGAACCGGGCTGTTAGTGATCGACTAGATCCCAGCGAAGGGGATCTCTTTTTTCCGGTATCGAAATGAAGCCGCTATATTATCATTTAATGTTTATCTGATTATTTATATATCTGTACGTGCACCAAAGTGGATTTATATACGACAGAAAGGGGGGGAGCCGTGACTCTTCCTCCTTTTTCCTTTTCAACTGCGTAAAAGTTAGAATTCTGTAATTTGCCTCGGATGATATTACGTTTCTCCAAAGACAGTCATACGTACGCACAGAGTGCAAGCGTTTCCGCGCTCGACAACACGCGCATAAATCTCAGGATTTATGAATCGCGGGTTTCGCGGGTGGTAATACCGTCTGGATTTATGAATTAATACCGGTCATATTAGATTCATAAATCTTGGTGTTTAGGCGGACGGAATCGTCCGCGTGGATTATTCGATCGCTTCGTGATTCACTCACGATTTGCCGATAGATAACGATCTTTATCATTCCCGAGAGCGCGTTTCTTCGCATATCTTTCTTTCTTTCTTCTAATCTCTCAATGTCTCTACGTAACCTTCGTTTAAGCGAGAAACAACGCGAGGTCTCATCACGGCGTTTCCTATTAAATGCGCGCAACGATTTATATTTTGAATAGTATGCTGAGATTAATCAGACTAAATGAATAGAACAATCAGCTTTATTCAGCTTCTTGTCTTTTTATCGAACTTGGACATCTTGATAGGGGAGAGACTTGCATATTTAAATAATACAAGAGAACTATTCAACATAATAAAAAAATTCAATATCTGAAATAGTCAAGATATTTTTTGCATTACTAAGTCCAAACGTTTCGGTTCTTTATTTGGACTCTCTTTAATGATAAATATAAGCCAAGAGAAATACAAAAAAAGTCATAGTTCGTAAGATGTACAAAATCATGTAGATAAACGTTAGTGCAAAAGAGACAAACGCACAGTTGAGCGTTTGTCGGTTTGCTTTCTTGCACATTTGAACCAATGTTTATCTTTATATGACTTTGTACGTCTTAGGAATTGTGTGCGACTTCTTTTGTGTTTCTTTTTTTTTTACTTCTATTCTATTATTTAACATATGTTCTGCGTTCCTTTACAATAGTAACAGAGAAAGGTAATAATAAATTTATCAGAACACTTATCTAAGTGACTTCGATGTTTGCTTGCCGTCCGAGGTCGATCGATTATCTCGCCTCCAAACGAACTTATCTGATCGGAAATTTTGCTACGAATGCGAACTCTGCTCGGCATGCACTAAAGAATTCGATAGTCTCGCCGTGCGATTTATACGGTATCATATACTATTCGCGCTAATATCGACTTGACCTACTGACCCACATGCAGGTCGATCCGATCTCTTATCCAAGGTCTTCGGGCGATACCCTTCATCGTGTTCGCGCGCGTTCTCATCGTTGCCCAGTTTCCGACGAGTTTCTCTGTCGGAAAATCAAAGTAGCGACTTAAAGAATGAAAATTACACCTTTGTATTTATTCTGTACTCGATATAAACTATGATTATATAATCGATATAATATATGATTTTACATGAAATGCTTCAAACAATTAGAGTGGAATATATTTCTTTGAAAGTGGAATACATCAGATTTACTCTTCAGTTGCGAGCAAAAATGTTCACTCATGAATTCAGAGTGGATAATTTATTCTTAATGAGTGAAACATCACTCAAATCCAAGTGATCCGGTGGTCACTGCATTTTTTGAGTGAAATTTCACTTTGAGAAATTTAGAGAGTACAGAACACGTCCCATCATATCGCGCGCATTGATTGACCAATTTTCTTTCATTAATATTCTAGTAATTATCGAGGCATGCATACAAAATTATATAGGATTTCCTTTGTTTAATTTAACAAATTCTGTTTGCACATGAGCATCTAAATTCAGACATAATTAATGGATATGTAAAATAACAATTTTTATGTGTCTCTTCATAATCTCTTTATCATATTTCTTTCATTAGCGTTGGAAATGTAAATAGAATGTCTGACGCATCAATGCTTGTGTGCGAGTAGAGTTTAAAAAATTGCATAAAACAGCGTATTTTTCAATTAACTATAGTAATTATTTCTTTACCTTGATCCACAGTAATAATCTCGTTACTATCACAATAGATAAGACGAAGAAAAGAATTTGAACAATTCGATTGAAAGCATGTTGTTCGTGTGAGCTTATTTACCGTGTTTTAAACGATTACACAATACTCGCCCCTTCGATAGGCATTTAAAAATTTTCAACTTGACACAGACGTATGCCAAAGATATTACTTTTTATTTCACGTTGTTTTGTCGAGTTTTTAGCCATTTAACTCTTTCGCTACTCTAATTTTATTTTTTAAAATTATAATTATTTAAAATTATATTATTTATACTTTCATTTAATTAAGTACACTAATATAATGTAATTTTCGTAAAAAAAATTAAAAGTTTGACATTAAGAAGATAAGGCCGGGGCACTGATTTTCCATTGAGATTTTAGAGAAGACATATTTGTTCTAACGGGGTGTGAAGTAGAGTAATAGCTAATGTATTCTGAATGCCGAAAAATATTTTAATTCAATTAAATAAGATTATTATTAATGATGAGAAAATATATGTCTCGAAAGGTAGCGGGAGAATTAAAATCGTTCTGTTGACACGTTGAAATTTACGCCCGGACAATGCTAGCACTTGCTCTCGCGCCGACGTACTACGTGTAAGTAAAGTGAGTTGAATGACCGCGGAGCTACAGCGAGCAAGGTGGGGCTTATCTGAGTCGGAAGTAGGAGTTGGGAGTAGCGAGCCCCCCTCCTCCCTCGGGGGGAATTCGCGCGCGCATGTCGCATACCGCGCAAGGTGACTTACCACACACAGTCGCGTCCCGCATTCCATTCATGCGTCACGTAGTCACGTATACTAGCGCGCTCGCTACAGCGATAACGCCGAATATTCTAGAACGCGGATCTACATAATCGTCAATAACTTTACTTGTAGACGTCGTAGCGACTTGAAACAAACGCCAATGGAAAGGGGAAATTGTCGCGCTTCCCATGAACGTGAAATCATCATGTGAAGTGAGGAATAGTATAATTATGTGAGTACGAAAGAT